CCTTCCATTCTGAGGCACCTTAAAGCCTCTGGATGGTTTCCTCCCCAGAAACCTCAACAAATGTATGCATGTATCCACAGTATCATGTTTAACTCTCTCCCTGATAACCGAATTCTAAAAGGTGAGACTGTCCCTCCAATGTCTCTCTCTGAAGCGATGTACCTGGAGAACAAGGTCAGGATTTAAATCTGGCTGTTTCATCAGCTGCTTGACATGTTTCCTCCGTTCTACCAGTTTCCGGATCTCTCTGGGCAAAATGCCCATTTCTAAGTTTGGATCTGGCAGCTCGGGGATCTGTTCTTGTTCTTCATCCTGATGAACACACAACAGAAATGTCACATACATCTAATGCTCATGAAGCAGTTTTCCAGCATACTAGTTCATAGGGGCTTTATCTCATGATCACGTGCCGAAAAGCTACTTCCATGCATAAGTGAGTCACAATAATTCAGGGACCATGAGCGAATGAGCTGAGAGGCCTGTAGAGCCTGCTCTTCTTCCCAGTTCTATCAGCTCATCATTTTTATGCATACTCGCTCCTCTCCTCAATAAATTGGCGAGCAACGTGTTTAGGGAAATTGTTTTTAAAATTAAAAAAAAAACACCAAGGACCTCAAAGATCAAAAGGGGAAAGAAACAGAACCGGCTCAAGTACTTTTTAAAGTAATGAATACTACCAAGCAAAATACGGTAGACATTTTTTATAGATTTTTTAAAACCATGGACAATCATAGCAATTATTTTAAATGTCTTTGACTAAAAAAACCAAAGTCTAAACATGAAATCAGCTATTTCGTTTAAGAATCTGAAGCACATATTTAAATTGGTCACGCCACTGCTAAAAATTAATACATATATATTCTTTAGCATTTATATAGTACCTTTTATCTATAAATTGCTTTGCAATCATAGAAGAATAGCAACATTTTAGAAAAGCAACAATCAGTCTTCTTACATTAAAATGTACAGCAGGAAAAAGCAGAGAAAGCATTAGACCATTTTTCTTAAATCTCCATTAATACTATTAAGAGGCTGAGAAGAAAAGCCAGGCACATTTGCCCTTTCAAAGGTTCAGAATTTAAAATAAAACCCTAGGCTTGAATTATGTCAAGTCAATGCTATTTGATAACTCAGCCCTTACTAAGTATCTGGTTTTATAAAGATCAATATCTTCAAATGAACAACCTTACACGAGTAACAAGGACCTATTGTTTTCCAATAGTCCAGATGATGATAACAAATTTATTACAGGCAACAACGGAAGTCAGATAAAAAGTAAACTAAAGAAAGAATGTAGAGTCAGGAAATGCGTAGACCACGTCCTGCATCACTGCCTCCTGTTGTGTGATGCTAGCTATTCTTGGCAAATGGAACACTACACTAGAAAATGACGGAGAAACGCTACATGTAGAGAATCTCTTGGATGACCTTCAAAGTCCCTTCCAACCCTAGAATGATTCTACTACAAGTCCAGAATCCAAAGTGGAAAGCTCGGGGGCTGGAGCAATAGCACAGCAGGTAGGACATTTGCTTTGCACGTGGCTGACCCGGGTTCAATTCCCAGCATCCCATATGGTCCCCTGAGCACTGCCAGGGGTAATTCCTGGGTGCAGAGCCAGGAGTGAGCCCTGTGCATCGCCAGGTGTGACCCAAAAAGCAAAAAAATAAATAAAATAAAAATGTAAAAAAAACAAAGTGGAAAGCTCAAATAAACAACATGGTGGTGGCGGGAGGGGCCAAATAAGGATTATCACCATGCTGAGTACAGGACAGAGCCCAGACAGTATTATTAACCAGGAGGGCATTACATTTATAAATCTCTTTCAGGGTGCTGTTTGTTTGGGGACCCCACAGGTGCTGCTCAGAGGAGACTACTGACTTGGTGCTTGGGACTTGCTCCCGGAGGTGTGCGGAAACTGTGGCGATGGGGAGCAAGCCCAGGTCTCCTGCACTCAACCCACTGAGCCATCACCCCGGCCTGCTACCTTTGCAAAGGTCTACTCAACACTGGATCTGAAAAGCTACACTCAGAGTACTCCCAGAGAAGGCCAACTTTAACCATCGTATCTGGACTCTGAACTCACTCGCGGGCTCACAAGTGACAGAGATGAAACTGCTCACAAGGCAAATGTGGCAGATTCTCTCTTCTAGAAACATGAAAATGAACCAGCAAATTAACTCCCAAGCACGTGGTTAGGTCAAATGAACACATGAAAATTCAGTGGCCAGAGGGGAAACAGACCAGGTCTTCAGCCCCTTGCACAGAAAAGCAGGGAGAAGCATTATGCAGATGTTAATTGATGATTTCTACTGCTGGAGAATTAAATCTGGTCAAACTCCCTACAAGCGATTGTCCATATGAAGATCTGTACGTTAAGTTATTAAGCATTACATAAACCTGGCTGATCACTGGTAGGATTAAAGTCATGTGAGGAAATTAAAAGAGTCCTTTTGAAAAGTCTGTTTAGTAAATAGAGGTATTTTAAAAATTGCTTGCAGGGGTTGGAAAGATAATAGAGTGTGGTAAGGAGTTTGCCTTGCATGCGGCCAGTCTGAATTCAATTCCTGGCACCTCAGATGGTCCTCTAAGCCTCACTAGAAGTGATTCCCTCAGCACAGAGCTAGGAATAGGCCCTGAGGACCACAGGGTGTGGTCCCAATGTTTTTAAATATGGTTTTAGATAGAAAAGTTAAAAGATTGAAAAGAACAAGTGCTGGAAAAGATATAGGGACAAGTTGCCTAAGAATTTACAGGAATATAAAATGGTACAACTACTTTGGAAAACAGTTTGAGACTTCCCGTACAAATGACATTCATTTACCTTATATATTTACCCCCCAAAGTCAAATCATACACCCAGGAAAGATTTTGTGCGCAATGTTCACAACAGCTTTACAAATAATAGCCAACAACTGAAAAAAATCTGAATAGTCATTTCAGGAGAAGAGGTAGAGTATGTGGTACCTCATAATAAATTCAAAACAAAGAACTACTGATATTCAAACACGGATGAGTCTCCAAATCATTACACTGAACAAAAAAGACAAAATCTCTATGTGCTAAAATGTTCCATTTATATGCAATTCTAGAACAGGCAAAAGGGGGTTGAAGAGATAGTACAGAGGGTAAAGCACTTGTCTTCCATGCAGCCAACCTGGACTGGCTCCCCAGCATCCTATATGGTCTTACGAACCTGCCAGGAGTGATCTTGGAGCACAGAGCCAGGAGTAACCCCTGAGCACAACCAGGTTTGGCCCCCAAACAAACAGAATTATCAAATTAAGGTATGGTGATAGGTATGGTGATAGGGGAATTAGCTCAGTGGTTGGCTGATGGGAAAGCCTATTCTAGAACTGCATGTTAAGATAACAATACTCACCAATCTGACCCCTGGAGACCCAATCCCTAGAGACAAAATCCCAATGAGCATGTTTTCATATAAACTGACCTGATGATTCTAAAATAAAATGTGATATCTGTGTGTGTCACCATAGACTGGAACATTATTTTGCAATTAAAAAAAGAATGAAGTACTAACACATGTTAGAGAAGGAATGACTAGTGAAACAGTATGCTATGTGAAATATGTCAGACACAACAGGTGACAAGTTTTATGATTCCATTTGGATGAAATGTCCCAAACACTCAAATATACAGAGGCAAAACAGATTACTGGTTGCCTGGCGCTGGAAGGGATGGCAGGACTGAGGAAGGTTACTGCTAAAAGATAAGGGCTTTCTCCAAAGAACAATGAAAATGTCTTAAAACTGACTGTGAAAGCTATACACCCTGTGACTGCACGAACAGCCACTACGGTGAACACTTTAAATGGGAAAATTGCATGATATGTGAATTACAGCTCAATAAAAGCTGTTAAATTAGACACAGAACCAGTCTGAGTCTCCTTTCCAGCCCTTCCCCTGGTTTGGCCACTAAGAAGGGAAAATAATATATTCTTAAAGAGAAAAAACAAGATGTAAATGCATTTGGTTCTCTTCTTTCTTTCTTTAAGCATTGCTTCCCCCCATTTTATTTTAAATACAATTCAGTTGGTTTACCATTGGTTTACAAAACTATGTATAAGGCTTTGAGATACAGCCATAGCACTATTTTATTATCGACCTTATGAGCACCCAGTTGAATACAAACCTCTGAAGCTTTCTGTGCCTCTAAAGCAACTCTTTGCACTGTCGTAAAACAAATGTTAAATTCCTGAATTATGGAAGGATACAAACTGTTGAAGTCCAGAAGCAAAACGAATTTATCATAAAAACCTGAAATCACAAAGCCATATGTCATAAGGAATTTTTTAAAAAGAGTCATAACATCAACCTCACATCAGAAGTACAATAATTATGAAGTACATTACAAACTACATAACCACCAACACCACCCCCTCCCCACAGAGGTATGAGGGAGACCAGAGAAAAAAGAAGCTAATTGATTTCTACTCTACAAAAATGACTTGCATTAGAGGGCAAAGTACAGATCACAAATAAGACCTGTCTCACCTTGAAATCACCTTCCCCACCGGCTCCCCCATCCCCCAGAATACACCATTATTAGGGGCAAACATTCTCCCCTATCAATTAGGACAACTATCACACCCATTTCAAAATAATGCTGTGGGGGGGCTAGAGCGATAGTACAGTGGGTTGTGCATTTGCTTTGCATGCAGCCAACCTGGGTTCGATTCCCAGCATCCCATGTGGTCCCCTGAGCACCGCCAGGAATAATTCCTGAGTGAAAAGCCAGGAGTAACCCCTGTGTGTCGCTGGTGTGACCCCAAAAATGCAAAAATATAAAAAAATAAAAATAATGTTGCTAAGTTCTCCTTTAAGCAAGCGTTCCCACTGACTCTCACACCAAAATGTTAAGCAGCCTACTACAGTGAGAATTTGAGACAAATATATGTTACAAACATCCTTCAAAGAATAAAAAAGGCGGTTCATTAACTTAAACACAAAGGGTGCTAAAATCAGACAGGTGACATACATCGAAATGTCAGTAGTAGAACGAGGTGTCCTTTTTCCTGCAAAGGTACACAGAGAACTCTATTTCTCTAGAACATTTACAAAGAGTTATCTTCACCTTAAGAAGAAACAGCTTTAAAATAAATGTCCTTTATAAGACAGCAGCAGCAAACATATACTACCTGTTTAGTAGAGTCTGGCACAGAACAACCTCTCACTTGAACCCTTAAATCCCTGTATGATATATATTATCCTTACTTCCATTTTACAGTAGCAAAAACTAAAGTTTAATAGCGATTAACCTGTTGGCCCAAGATCACAGCCCAAACTCTAGCCCAGATCCAACACTAAGGACTAATGACCTGTTTTATTAATGTGTCTGACATCATAGAATGAGAAGCAGATGAAATGACAGGCGGGAGGCCTTCGTGCTGTGTCACTCCATCACTGCGGGTACCAGGCTCTGGCCTGGGCTCCGACCCCCTGGAGTGACTGAATGACCAATACCTTAAGAAGCTGGTGCAGACCTACTCAGTGTTTCCCAACCTGGACAAAATGAGTGACGCGGTGGTCCAGTCCTACAACTCTCTGCTCACGCTCAAGAGGCTAACCCAGAACATGGACTGTGTGGGGGTGTTGGACGACACTGCCTTGAGCAGGATGGCCACAGAACACCTGCAAAGCCCAAACCCGTTCTTCTCCCTGATCCACCAGTTGGTGTCCACCATCATGTCAGCCAGCATCACCACCCTGCACTACCTCAGCCACATGAATGAAGACCTCATCATCGGCCTCATTGCCTCGCTCATCCCCACACCATGGCTCCACTTCCTCATGACCGGCTATACCCTCCTAACTAAACATAAAGGGCCAGAGAGATAGTATAGTGAGCGGGGCACGTGCCTTGCATGCATCTGCCCAAGTTGATCCCCAGCATCAAGCCCTGCCAGGAGTGATCCCTGAGTGCAGAGCCATGATCACAGCCAGATACGACCCCCAAACCAAACAAAAATTAAAAAATCAACTTTAGTCCAAAATGTCTCCTAGTCAGACTTCAAGTTACTTGATAAACTTCAAATTAGTTCTTGCACAGCAATGTAAATACATGTAACTGCACACTAAAAAGATTCTAGAATTGTAAAAGAAAAGAGAGATCCTTTCTAGTCCTGTCATTCATGACAGCTAGTCTTCTGTTAAAAGTTCAACTAGGTCTTAGCTGTCTGTTTTTTAACATTTCCTGTCCAATTACAGTGGTTCTGGAACAATGGACAAAGAAGTGCCATCCTGAAAGAGTGGTTGGGAGAAGATGAAGGAGCTCCTACCAGGGCAAGGAGCTACACGCAAGGACCAGGGATGGGCAAACTCAACTGAGACCAAATTCAGCACAGCCCCTTTCCTGTACTGTTCATCAGCTAAGAAGAGCTTTGATACCTTTTTGGTCCCCCTCCCCACCTCCACACCAGTGATATTTCATGACACTTGAAAATCACACAAAATTTAAAGTTTTATATTCACTAAATACTATCCTCAGGAACACAGCAGAAAATATTTATATTAACTCACATCAAGTGATTAATTTCCATGTCTGGCAAATAAGATATTCACATGAACATAATAAAAAAATAAGATTTTTATTTGCTAAGACTGATTTGCTAACCGGAAATAAAATGCAGTTCTAGCTTCTGCATTAAGAAATTCCTTAACACCAGGGAAAATGAATCCACAAATTAATCAGTCTTACCAACTTTGGGGTCCAGCACCAAGCCTCCAGCATATGCTGCTTTCTTACGACCTTTCTTGTTTCTACTGGGATCTCCATCAATTTCTTCATCGTCATCTCCCTAATAGCAAATAGGAAGAAAGATTCACCAGCCAGCAACGAGTTAAGTTTTATGATTCCCACCTTTTTCAATCACAATATACTGTTCTAAAAAACTTTTTTTTCTTTTTAATTAGAGCCCAACCTGTAGGGAAAGATTAGTACTATAATATCTTCACTAATTAAAAAAAAACATCAAACATGACAGTTATCAAAAGAAGTGTGCTATCTGTGAGTTAATACATATGCAAATTCTACTTCAAAATGTTTCTGAATTTATAGAAACTTAGTTGTTTTTATTGATTTGCTCAAGTGGGCCCAGTAACATTGTGAGATTTGTTATTGTGTTTGGCATATCGAATATGTCACGGGTAGCTTGCCAGGCTTTGCTGCATAGGCGAGATACTCTCGGTAGCTTGCCGTGCTCCTTGAGAGGGGCGGAGGAATCGAACTTGGGCTGGAGCGGTAGGGCATTTGCCTTGCACGCAGCCAGCCTGGCCGAGCCGGGTTCGATTCCTCTGCCCTTCTCGGAGAGCACGGCAAACAACCGAGAGTATCTTGCCCATGCAGCAAAGCCTGGCAAGCTACCCGTGACATATTCGATATGCCAAACACAGTAACAACTATGTTTTTTATATGAATATATATTCAATATATATTCAATATGCCAAACACAGTAACAAGTCTCAAAATGGAGACGTTACTGTGCCCGCTCAAGCAAATTGATGAACAACGGGAGGACAGTGTTTGTTTGACAGTTGTTTTTAAATTAGTGAATACTAGTCGTGTAACTCTTCCTACCACATAAAATTTGAGATTGTAAGAAGTCCTCTCAAATTGACTATTCTTAACATTCGTAACGTAAAAATACAAGTATTTCTTGGAGGCATTATTGGTAACTCATTACTGATATGCACCCCTTAAAATATGTCCATGTACTGAAATTAGTATACTAGTGGCCGACATTCATAGCTCTACAGAAGTCGAATTCTCCACATCAAAATGCCTATGCCAATTCTGATAATGTACATAAAACAAACAAATTTGAGAAAATGGATTATAGTTTAACATTACATTACCATTCTGAATTAATTACTGTTAGTGCTGATAAAACAGTCACTTAAGTTTTATTTATTTTTTTTTCCGTCACACCCGGCGATGCACAGGGGTTACTCCTGGCTCTGCACTCAGGAGTTACTCCTGGTGGCGCTCAGGGCACCATATGGGATGCTGGGACTCGAACCCGGGTCGGCCGCATGCAAGGCAAATGTCCTACCCACTGTGCTATCTCTCCAGCCCCACAGTCACTTAAATTTTAGTTTCAATGTGACAGACGCCATTTCAGAAGTCTGATTGGGGTGACCTTAATCTTACTAGTACATAAAAATGTGATAATGCAACAGAAAAAAGCTCATGGACTTAAGAATATAAATGCTTCAACTGGAACCTGACTTTAGGGAGGACTGTGTAGCAAAACACTTTCCAGGCAGTCAGTCGCCCAGGGAAGAAGCTTAATGTCTCCCTCAAAGAATGTTGCATCTCACAAGTAATCTTTATCTGTGCAGAGAAAAGCACAAAGGAAATAAGCACCCAATGGGACTTAACGTTCTTATAGTAGACAGAGAAGTCATTATTTTGAAAACAGATGTTATCACAGTCAAAAAAAAGTAGCTAGGTAGTAAAGTAGGGAGGAGATAAGAAAAGGCAAAATGCTACACAATTTTGGACCCACCGTTTTTTGCTGAGTTTTTCTGAAAATCTGCTTGTCAGGCACAATATAGTTGTTCTCATAAAATGCATGAAGCAACAAGAACTCGTTACGCTCAGATCGTCCACCCATCAGCGTCCTAGACTATTAAATAAAATTTTTCTTAAATTTGAGCTCAAAATCACAACAAGCCAAAGCAAGTTCAGTCCTAGCACCTCATTCAAGATCATTCTTGCTGTTTCCCACAAAAGGAAAGCTACTATATTATTTCTAGCATTTAAAACATCGTAGTTAAAAGGAGACAATGAGAGCTTCAAATATTGACAATTTGGGCTATTTCTTGACTACTAAATGGCCTACACCACAAATGAGACACACCCAGATGTTTGAGATGATCCTTCTGCGCACCCAAATTTCAACACTCTGCACCTGGCTTTTCTTCCCTTCTCCCAGCCAGTTCTTCCTTTTATAAAAGAAGCCCAGCTTTCAGAATACAAGTTACTCATTTTATACGCATGCATTTAGACTCATTATCATATAACAACTACCCCAAGCAAACACTGAATCCAACAGGAAGTGCTTTTTCCCCCTTTCTAAGTTCAATTTACCATAATGTTCCCAGCGATGTTAGTGATCTGCAATGCTAATGGGAGAACATTTAGCTCACACATGAGCTGCAAAATGAACTTGGCATCTTTCCAGGTATGTTCCAACAGGTACAACAGATGAGAAGATTCACTGTAAAGAAAAGTAAGAATGAAAAAGAATCAAGTAATTAAAAGAAACAATGACTATAATCAGAACTTCATAAAATATTACAAAAAAATTTTTTTGGTATAAGTAACTTCTGAGCAATGGCACCTCAGCTTTAGAAACAATTTTACACTGTTTGGTATGTAACTAGGAATTCAATTATAGCACTGATCTCAATACCCTTCTCCAAAACACACACAATACCACAAAGAGAAAATGAAGTTATGTATTAACTACAAATCCCCAAACAACCGAAAGCCTCTCATTTATTCCCTCCAACAAGGATGTACCGCATGTCTAGTACAATCATAGCATTGTTCCAGATGCTGGCTGGGACTGAATCAGACGAAACTTCCTACCTTCATGGGGTAGTCCTCACAGGAGAGGATGTAAGTGAAAAAACCAAATAAATAATGTACAATGCTAAGTGTTACGAAGAAGAAATGTAAAAGCAAAGAGAACAGGGATGGAGAAATAGTATGGGGGGGGGGAGGTGCTGGTCTTGTCTACCCCAGTTCAATCCCTGGCATCACATATGGTACCCACTAGCAACCCTCAGGAGTGATCCCTGGGAACAGAGCCAAGAGGGAGTCCTGAGCACAACCAACTGTGCCTTCAAACACCCCCCACCCCCCCAAAAAAGAAGCAAAGAGAATAAGTGCGAGGATGAAATTAACATTCTCATTAGGAAACTAGGGTAGAAATGAGTGAGGATACAGTCCTGGAAGAGGAGAAGGGCAATTCTTCTGGATATCCAGGCAGGCAGGAAGGCCAAAGTCCCTGAGCTGGGTGCAAAACTGGCAGTTCCAGGAACATGAACAAAAATCGATGTGTTTTGAAACAAAGAATGATGGAGACCAGGAAATGGGGA